CCTTCAAGCGCTGCCCAGTGGCCTGGGTCTTCGATTGCCTCTCGGAGCCGGCCAGATCCACCAGCTGGAGTTTGCCCATCCGCACGTGCTGCGCACCGCCTTCGCCCAGCTCGCTGCGCTCCACCGTGATGGAGAAGATGGCATGGGAGCGAGAGGACTCCTGGTTCATTTTGGTGGCTCCCACGGCGCGATTCTTGTTGCCCAGCCGCATGATATTCTCCAGATCGTCCGCATTGTGCACCACATAGCCGCTGAGATCCTTAACAAACACGCCAATGTCGGGCCGCTCCTTCACCTCCAGACTCTTGCTCACATCCTTGCCCAGCAGATCCCGCACCTCCTCGTTGTAGATCTCCATGTAGCTTACGCGCACCAGGAACTTTTGGTTCTCGCGGGCCTTGGCTATGTGCCCGAAGATGTGGGCGAAGGCATTGGGTATAATGCCCTTTGTTTGCGGCGAGTCCGGATTCCCCGACATTGTGTACGTCTTGCCGGTGCCCGTCTGGCCATAGGCCAGGATCGTGCCATTGTATCCCTCCAGCACCTTGTCTACAATGGGACGCGCCGTGTCCACATAGAGGTCCAGCTGATTGGAGCTGCCATCGAAGACGTTGTCGAAGTAGTACGTCTTGGGCGGCTCATTGGCCGTCGCATTCGGCTTCATTACGGTGATGGCCCGGTTGATCTTGTCCACGGATATGGCACTCAGTGCACCAGCAGTCAGCTCATTCTTGTCCATGGGCCTCGTCCGTACCACCACTCGGACATTCTCGATTTCGTCATCGAGCTGCTGCTGCTGCTGCGGCTGCGGCGGCACTGCCGTTCCTGCTGTTTCCTCCTGTGGCATGGCTGGTTTGACTGTGTCTCCGGTTTATTCCCCAATATCTGTCGGCAGTGAGCAACGTTTTTTGCTGACCGCAGTTACTCGGAATCGATTATAATAGATTTTCCTCGCATTTGTTTATGCACCCCCAGCGCAATCCGCAAAAACCAAGGCAATCCGGCGATCAAACGTTAACCCACTTAACACCCCTCTATATAAAAAGTTGAGCACCCTTTGTAAAACAGCGGAAAATAACACTTTTTTTAAAGGCTCCTTGTAGCTCCATCCTCCTCTTTACTTACAAAACAAAAATAACCAGGTGAAATCTTTCACCTGTAATGCGTAAAATATGTTGAAGTTACATCAATTTCGTGGAAATATTAAATACCCCCCTGGTCGACAATGGGATAACGTTTTGTTTTATTGATTGAAATCGTATTCCATGATTTTGATCTTCAGTTGAATATTCCGAGCTAGTTGGCCTTCTCAGCAATAAACAAATAATTTTATCCTATAGATACATACATTTTCTACAAGATTGGTTGGTTTTCAAAAGTCCTTTTTATTGCATTGTTTATATAAAAAGGTTCAAACAAAAACTGCCAAAGCAAAAACGTAAATGTTGACTAAATGTGACGTCATTGTTGCTGGTCAACCAAGTTTCTTCTATGTGTATGGACTTGTGTATACCTTATTTCCTTTAATTGATGTTAAATTTGTCGTTCCAAATTGCTTTGAAACATAAATAATTATCCTGCTATCCTAGATTTACATGTTTTTTACCTATTAATGCATATGTTTTGTATTTTATAAATACATTTATCCAGGTTCTGATTCCTATTACTAGTACCCGTGATCTGCAAAATTTCGTTAATATTTTGAAAGTAAAGACTGAGTAGTTTCGGCATTAATTGGAGCCTGAAATTACAAACAATATCTCAATTCCATAATATCCATTTTCCCAAGGTATTCAGATCTGTTGCTCATTCCATGCCAAAGTTGCACAGCAATGTTGCTAGATTCATTGCTGCTACGTTCCCGTAAGATATTTGTTGCTCGCACGCTGAAAACAGCGTTGCCACTTTCCGATTGTCTCGTAAATAAAATTATCGGTATAAATGAAATAATGAAACTAACGAAATAAAATAATTTTTTCATTACGAAAAAACGCGCTATTTTCCCCGAATTTCGGTATTTCCGAAGCTGCACAGCGCTGAACGGTCACACCAGCAAGTCAACAAAATTCAAATTAAAATGTCAGCCCTAGTCAAAGTTACTATTAAGAATTACTTTTATTGTTAACCACGATTCGAGAGAGTCATTTTAATAGATAGATATATTTTTAAGGTAAATATACTTTGAACTCGATTTCGACCTCAAAATATCCTGTAAACGGTCGCCCTTGCTGCTATGCTTTTCTAATTGGGGAAATTAACGTTAGTACCTACGTTTTATTTGTGGATGGTAGTTTTAGTTAAAAAAAAACTACATAAAGTAAAACCCATTGACTAGAAATTTAATCCAAATAATGAGGGGAAACGTTAGAACGTTTGAAATGAAAACAAAAGTTTGTCATGAAAATAATAATCAAGTGGTTGGAAATCCAATTAGAAAAAAGATAATATGCAACAGGTTGCATGAAAAATTTAGAAAATTAAAAATAAACACAACTTTAAGGCAGGACAGCAGTTTTAAATCTAAAAAGAAAATTTAAATAAATAAATCCAATAAAAATACCAAAAACAACCGTGGGAATACGATGAATTGGTAACTTTCCCACGCCAACGCGTCCACATCCGCGAGCGAGAGCCGTGGAGGAACAACAATAGCGAGTAAACATCTGCAAGAGAGCGAATACGACGAAACCAGTGCCAGCAGTGGAATAGATAGATTGGCGCTGCCCTTAGAGTTTCCTTACACGACCAGACGACGCATAAAATTGTACTCCGGCCACCATGGCAGCGACATTGCGAAGATTCCATGGCCTGCGACTGCTTAAGTCCACGCCAGCGCTGAATCTGCAGCAGGTAAAGCGCACAACGACCGTGGGACAAAATTTTCACGGCCCCCAAGCCAGTGGGCACGACAGAGCCCTCCAAAAAAGTGATGTCAAATGGCAAGATATCCCCCTAATTTCTATGCAAACAGGCGAAGGGCAATTGTGGGTGCGAGAATCGAACGAAAAAGTGTTTCCGATCAGTGATAAGCAATTGCCTTTGGCCCAAGAGCAGTGACATTGCACCCGCAGACCACCCAATTATGTAACTCTGTGCGAAAAATCGTATGCCACCGACTCTTGTCTGGGCGAATGCCTAATCGATTGTTCTCTCCTTGCAGGCCAAGAACCTCTCCTCGGCCAGCAGCTGGGCCAACAGCAACAAGAAGGTAAGTCTCGAGTCACCAATCCGATCTGCAGAGCATTTCATAATAGCCGAACGCACCTAACCTCAAAACGCGTTTACTCTTTCTGTCTCACCTGCGCTCTGGCTCTGTGTGTGCGTGTCGCGAACAGCTGATCGGCGCTGTGGGTGCCATTACCGGCGGCGTTGGTGCTCTCCTGTTCGCCCTGGAGCAGTCCGTGGATGCCTCCGACGGCACGGTGCATTCCCCTGCCCAGCCATGGAACCACAAGGGCCTGTTCTCCTCGCTGGACCACCAGAGGTAACAACTCCACCAGAGAGATTACCATTACGCCGCCTCCTTTTGGGGATTTCACTTACTCCTCCTCCTCCATTTTCAGTGTGCGTCGCGGCTATGAGGTGTATAAGCAGGTGTGCTCCGCCTGCCACTCGATGCAATATATTGCCTACCGCAATCTGATTGGCGTCAGCCACACCGAAGCTGAGGCAAAGGCTGAGGCCGAGCAGATAACGGTAAGAAATCCAAGCAAAGAGAGAGAGATTTGCGTGTGAGATTTATTTCCCGTGTATATATTTATTCCCGAACAGGTCAGGGACGGTCCCGATGATACCGGCAACTTCTTCAACCGTCCCGGCAAACTGTCGGACTACTTCCCGTCGCCGTATCCCAACGAGGAGGCGGCGCGTGCTGCCAACAACGGTGCCTATCCACCGGATCTAAGCTACATCGTGTCGGCCCGCAAGGGTGGCGAGGACTATATCTTCTCGCTGCTGACCGGCTACCATGATGCGCCAGCCGGCGTGGTGCTGCGCGAGGGTCAGTACTTTAATCCGTACTTCCCCGGCGGCGCCATTTCCATGGCACAGGTCTTGTACAACGAGGTGAGTGGCAGCAGTGAAAGCAGCAGTGGATAAGGATGAGACCTTAATCAATTAATATTTCATTGTTAGGTCATTGAGTACGAGGATGGCACACCGCCAACACAGAGTCAATTGGCCAAGGATGTGGCCACGTTCCTCAAGTGGACTTCGGAGCCGGAGCACGACGATCGCAAGCAGATGCTGATCAAAGTAATTGCCATTCTCGGCTTCTTGACTGCCGTCTCGTATTACATTAAGCGACACAAGTGGTCCTCGCTCAAGTCGCGAAAGATCGTGTTCGTGCCCAAGGAGAAGTAGAAATGATTGATATTGATTTTGGTCCGAAGAATTGCAGTGTTATCTCGGCTTTACCCGACTAATAAAGATAAATCAATTTTAAGCAAAACAAACACACACAAAGAACAAACCAACATCGTTCTCTCTATCGAACCGAACCCACAAAAAACTATTTCGATCTGAATACAAAAAAAAAACACAACCAACTTGCGATCACCAATGCCACAAAGAGATCAGAGGACGGGACGGACGGACAGGATTGAATAGGGAGAGTAAAACTTAAAGTAAACAACAGCAGGAAAACTAGCAAAATGAATCCACGGATGATAATATTACATTGATTGTGTATAGAAGCTATAATTCAAATTATGTATTTAAACAAAATATAAAATTGACAATTAAACGGAGATAATTATAGAGGGCAGGAATTTGGGATCATTGGAGTGGAGTAAGAGGAATTTTTGATCAGTTTTTAAATGGTTTAATACATTGGATTTGGTTAATTGTTTGCTTGGCTCTGATTGAGTCATAAATCTGATCAAATATGCATCAGACTTTACGGCAGGAATATAGTTAGGGATGACGACTAAACTGATTGCTGATCGAAGTATCATAAGTAGAAGATGATATCCAGCTTACCATTTATCTCTATACATTTATGGAGTTTCCCAATTTCGATTCAGCCCTTTGCCAATTTTATATAGTACAGGTATTGCAAACGAAGACATCATCTTAGTTTTGTCGTTCTGTAAAATGCAGAAATATAACATCAATTAATACGTTCAGCCATAAAGTTCATTAATAAGCAATCAAGGAATACCTTGGCAGGATCAGTTGGCATTTGTTGAAGCAACAAATCTCAACAGATCCTTAACCAATTTGGGGTTTTTGGAGCTTTCTTTTATTGGATTATTAATTGTTTTATTTAGAAGCTTAAATTAAATTATTATATTAATCATCGTTCATTCTGCCCGCTCGATTTCCACATCAGTTTATAGTGCAAGTGTATGTGTGGTTGTTGTGTCGCTCTATATACTCGCATATATATTTGTATGGTATGTATATATAATTTCCACAAAAGATATTACAATGCTGCTACCTCCTTCGACCCACTAGAGTGGGAGGAAGGAAGAAGATACAAGTATCTTAAAATCAAAACTCAAATCAACTTAAATGTTTCTTCGAGTTCTTTGCTCTACAGAAAATTCTCTTCGATTGGTTGTTGTTTCTTGTTTTATTTAAATTAATATATATTTTGTTTTTATGTATATAATTAATAAATTTTTAGTTTAGGCAAAAAACAATAATTACGCATCATCTCCTCTCCAAAGAACACCACAGGCTGCTGGGCTGCTGCTCATCCATCTTTCTCTCTAGAAATACATGCGCCTGCTCTGCTCTGTTCGATTAGTTTACGTTTACGCTTACTTTTATACGGATTTTAACTTTTCTCTTCATTTAATTTCTTTTGTTGCATTACTCTGTGTATGCGCGTGAGTGAAAAAATAAAATAAACTCAATTTCGGTTCGATTTTGTAGGCGTTTTTTTTTTGTTTTTTGTTATTTGTTGTTTGTTTTTTTTGTTTGTTTAACTTGTTGCTGATTTTGTGGTTCTGTTCTAATTTTGTTTCTTTCTTAGCTAAGAAGGGAGGATCGTTGTTGGGGGTACTGGCTGGCTGGCTGGCTGGCTGGGGGGAGTAGAAGTAAAGTAACCAAACATGATGATATAGTTTATGACGGAAGGGACGACGACGACGACCATTATAGTGACGTTGTTTGCTGTTCTTGTTACTTATAGTATAACTTGCATTTGGTTTCTGGTTGCCGTTGCTGCAAGCATCAACGGGCCACATAACCCCACTCGCTTCTCATTCATCATCTTCTTAATCATCTCCACGCGGCTGCCGCAGCTCAGAGGCACACGCATGCCACATCCACATGCCACACACAGCTTTCCATATATAGATATATATAGATTATAGACTTATACATGGCTGATTCCGGCTGATATTGTTTTGCTGGTGGTCGGTCTTGCTGTGCTGTAAGTGTGTGTGGGGGGGTCAGGCTCTGGCTCTGGTTGTTTCTGCAGCTGCCGGGTTTTGCTGTTGGTGTTGTTTTGCTGGTTGTTGTCGACTAAAAACAGCTTCCTTCTGGCGGCTGTGCCAGCTTCAGGTTCTCTTTCATGGTCATAATCCTACGAATTTCCTGCAGCATCGTTTTTATAGTGTTATCACGATTCCACCGGGCCAACATGGGCACTGATCTATGATCAACCTGTGGGGGTGGGAATTCCATCAGTAATTATTAAGTGAACAATGAATAATATTGTTGAATCAATTGTTCAATTTGCAATTGCAATTACAACTTGTGTGTGTATACTTACCACGCCATTGTTCTGGTTAATGCAATTAATATTAACTTTAGTTAAAAATCTTAGCGTGGGTGGCTCATCCGGATAGCGTTCGTTGCACTCAATCTTTAGTGAATACATTCGATTCTCAAATGGTGTCTGCAAGCAAAAGATTATCCAATTTCCAAGTTTAATGAGCTGCTCCACTATACACAAATCCATTTAACTCTTTTAAACGGTTTGTAATTACGGCCATGGCCAATGGTGTCGATGAGTCAGCCAATCCAGCTCCAACCCCCCTTAGCCTTGTTTGCAGGCAGACTCTGCTTTGGAGAGGTCTCCGTCTCCCATGAATCATGCGACGCGACGGCGCGCGCAACATTCCACGACTACACAAATGTTTATTGCATATTTATGAGTTGAAACGAAGCAGAAGGATCGAATTTGTTATAGCTTTGGGATGCAAAGTGTAAGAGATCCCAACAGTGAATGGAATTTCATATGCTTCAAACTAACATCGATCTATTCCTAATTGAGAGTAAATTTTATATGCTTTCGAAGCGGAATACTTCTGGGAATCTATAAGATTTTCTTGACATACTTTAACTTTGCTGATTCCCTCAACTGATAGCTGATTATCCATCAAATCCTTTTCTTCCGGTGACTTTTACAACATCTGTCGCTGTCATTTCCACTAATATAAAGCTGTTCCTCATATTTACAAATTCTCTGCTCATTAAGCACCTTAATCATTCGGAAGATATGCAATTTGTTAGCTTTCATTACAAACTGTGCCACATTCTCACAATTTACGCAATCAAACTGATAAAATGTCAATAATCCAACGGAAAGCACTGATAAGAAGTGCCTCTGCCCCCGCTCCTGATCGTACATCGGTCTGGTCTTATCATTTGACGTATCCAACAGGAAAGAACGTTCCAATCGGAAACAATGTTGCGGTCGTGTGCAGAAGGAGGAGGTTGAGGAACAACTTACTCTGGGCGGACCAATGATCATGCCAATCCAATAAGTGAGCGTCATATCATCGTCGTTCTCCAGACCCCACGAGATGGTGCCATCGCCTACACCCTTCTGGCCCTGATCCAGCTCCTCCAGTAAGCGGAAATTTCGTGGCACCACTGCAAGAAAAGAACAAGAGCTCGAATCAAATCGATGACATAATAAATTTCCATTGAAAACTTTTTGCAAATAACTCAAAATGATTGGCCTACAACACCGTCGTTCCAGCAAGTTTTCTGCTGCGCTGCGCCCTCCCCACCACCTACGGTTGGGGTCATATGGGGACGTGCTGCTGCTACTGCTGCTGCTGTTGTTGTTTGCTCTTTGCTTTGTTTTTCTTTTCGCCCGAGTGACTCTTTGCACGCATTTTCGTATGTTTAAAGAGAGCACAGAAGAAACAACAAAAATACATCAAAAAGAAACTAAACGAAAAAAAAATATCCCAATAGAGGAAGGGTGTGGTGTGGTGAGGTGGGTGGAGAACCTAGTCAAGTCCGGCTACCACCCCACCCCAATTGCAGACATAATTTTTGCATTTGCAAAAACAATTTCAAGCAAATGAAATTTGCAGCTAATTTAATTAGAAAAGAAGCAGATTGGCCAGCAGCAGCAGCAGAGTGAAAAACGCACGGAGCGCCAGAGTGCCGTGCGGTGCGGAGCGGAAGAGGAAGAAAAAAACAAGTAAAAAAGGAACACAGCAAAGGGCAAAAGCGTTGGCGACGACAGGCAGAAGAAAGAGAGAGGGGGGTGTAGTCGACCGACCCGTCCGAAACTGTCAAGTCACGAAGCGAAATTACTGCAATTCCTGCATTTGAACTGGAGTTTTGGGCACCAGATATAGCGGCGTGGCTGGCCCCGATCAATCCAATACGAAATTATAATCACACCGCACTCGCGGCCAAGCTTTTATCGGCTTTTGTAGTCGCCAGTTCTTTGCCTCTGCTTTCTTTTCCATTTTCACACACGGGACCAGGCAGCAGAGACGGCGAGAGGGTGGCGTTTTTTCGCTTATTTCGCCAGAAAAAACCGATTTTAACGCGTCAGAAACGTGGCTCACATATTGCCAGTAAATTTGGGCACGTGCTGGATGAGTTTATCCCTTTGCAAATTGTTAATTTAACAAATTAATTTCTTACCAACGCCGGTACTTGTATTCGCCATTGTGGTTTATGTACAGTGTGGCCGCGGCCTTTTCGATAAAATATACCGTCTGACCCTCACAAATATACCGTAATATACCAACAAATTAATGAAATATACTATATTATATACCGATATACCGTAAATCAACTCAATTTCGACGTCAAAATATAGCGATAAATAGTAAATTGCAATATCCTAAACATATTTTAAATAACATGTCGTTCAGGACCAAGATTTTGATTGCGTGGAATTCAAGTTTGGTGCAGTTCGCGTGATTTTCCTGCAGCCATCCAAAATATACCAGATTCATGTAAAACTACTTTAATATAACGCTTATTGTATATCAATAGCCCCAAAGATGTAAAGTTTGTTTAGAAAATGTAAGGTGGATTTACAATTGAGGAATGGCAGCTGGTTTCAAATAACTCGTGCAAAAACCATGCCACCCGAAAACGCGTTTAATACCAAAACAAACATGCGCAAAAATACCAGAACGCGTGACAGCTGCTCTGCCGCAAAATTGCAACGCGTCAGCTTTTTAAATGAACAGCATTTCAATATAAATTAATAATTAATTGGCAACCAGGTGGAACGGAACTCTGTTGACTAGAACACCCGCCATGGAATCCCTGTACCATCAGACGAACAACACGGTCAAGGAAATCGAGCATGCCTTTCAGCGACTCGGACAGATTAGTACACAGGAGGCGCTTGACGTGGAAAATGCAATTCAATTGAAAATAACACAAGCCAATTCGTGAGTCATTAGAGTTCTAATTCAAAGACCTAGGCCCAACCGCTATAATTTCGCCACATCCACCAGCAATTGCGACCGCTTGGATGTGCTGCTCTTCAAGGTGCCGCCCTCGCAACGCCAGAGCTCGAAGCTTCGCGTGGATCAGCTCAAGTACGACCTGAGACACTTGCAGACATCGCTGCAGCATGCCAAGGACCGCCGGCACCGCCGTGAGCAGGAGATCTCGGAGCGGGAGCAGTTGCTAAACCATCGGTTCAGTGCCAACAGCACCCAACCGGACGAGACGTGCCTCCAGCTGGACTACGAACTGCAGCACCATACGCAGCTGGGCGGCGCTCACAGGGGAGTGGACGACATGATCTCCTCTGGCAGTGGCATACTCGAGAGTCTCATATCGCAGCGCATGACGCTGGGCGGAGCCCACAAGCGCATCCAGGCGATTGGCAGCACTCTGGGTCTGTCGAATCATACAATGAAGCTGATAGAGCGACGGCTGGTGGAGGATCGGAAGATATTTCTGGGGGGAATGCTGGTCACGTTACTGGTCATCGGGCTGATTATATACTTCTTAGTGCTGTAGTGTAAGGGAAGAAGAAGCATTCACATTCGTTGAGTTTAAATTAAATGTACTCTATTTTGTAAATGGTAAATGCCAGAGAATCGTGATCAACTGAAGACTGGGTGTGGTGTGGGGTGGCGTCTAGTCGTCGTTCTCCAGCGAGATGTTGCTGCCAAAGCGCTGGTAAAGATGTGCCTTCAGCTCGTCCATTTCGACTTTGATTGCCTTGGCCTTGGCCTCAATGCTGCCAATCTCCTTAATGACCATATCCTTGGTCTCTGCAAGCAGCTCCTGAGTCTTGCCCAGCTTGTGCGACAGGAAGACCTCTCCCACCAGGAAGGGAATGTCCTCGTCCTCGTCGAACAGCTCAATCTCATCCAGTGCCTCCTCCACGCACTTCAGCTCGTTCTTCTTCACGTCCAGCTCCATCTTCAGGTCATCCATGCGAGCATTGTGCTTCGCAAAGCGATTGATACGCTGCTGATCCTCGAAGGAAATGTGTACATCATCGTGCTGTGGGTTGGGAACAAAACGACGGGGGAATGATGTGTAGGAGTCACCGCAAAGTGAGGTTACTTGTCACCGCCAACTGTTTGCGCAGCTCCTGCGAGTGATTCACTGCCACTTACGTTCTGGAACACTTTGTTCGCGGTGCTTGCTACTTTAGCGGCCATTTTCTGTTGGTTTATAGTCGGTTTTATAAATAATTTAAAGAATTTTACAAACAGTTGTTTTTTGACTCGAAATTGGTGGTGCTGGTCAGTGTGACCGCGGACTCAGCTGACCCTCAGAAATATACTGAAAAATACCGTCACATTTTCAAAATATACCGTAAATATGACCAAGAAAATGATATTCCTCAATTTTGAATTTTTTGTTTAACTGAGCGAATAAATTGAAGATATATTTGTGGAATATATAGGAAGGATCTAATTTTCTTAATTATTCAGATGTAACCGCGACTTTCACTGGCAAAATATAAAATTAGCGAGCACTGTTAAGGTTCCGTTTACGGCCGCCTTCTAGTGGCGCTATGCAATTCAAAGAAAAACCTGTAGGGGGAGGCAGGTGCAAAGTCAAAGAGGATATAGTTAGTATGTACAAAAAGCACAGTTTGTACATCAATTGAAACAGTTAAAAAATTAAATTAAATAAAAAAAAAATAGCCTATTATGAATAAATATCGAGGTTATTCAACATTATAATATGATTTTCCCTTTGAGTATCATATCCTCTTCCTGGGTACCGAATATTTTATTTATTTCCCAACTCAATTTGTTGTTGGCTGCCCACGGAAAGTGTGCCGCTCTGGAGCTGCCGCCGAACATGCAGTCCGAGTGCCACAATGGTCGCTGTAAGGTCTCTTGTCCAGCTGGATATAGCTTCTGCAGCAAAGATGGCTGGATCATTGGCAATTCCATATTCTCCGTAGTGCCACCCTGCCACGCCCGGTGCCAGCCGGCCTGTCAGAACAATGGCATCTGCCTCTCAACGGGCGTCTGTCAGTGTCCGGAAAACTATTACGGACCCGCCTGCCAGACGAAGAAGTCCCAAGGCTCCAAAGAACTCTAAGTCTCCAGCTCCCTGAAGAACTGCTGTGCTTCAGGGAACTGTGCTACTCAGTATTTTCAGTATTCCAGCTCCCTGAAGAACTGCTGTGCTTCAGGGAACTGTGCTACTCAGTATTTTTAGTATTCCAGCTCCCTGAAGAACTGTGCAAACTTGGTATTTTTTAGCTTCCGCATACAAAAGCGATACCCTGGAAAAAATACCATGTGCATTGTGGAAACCCATACCACTAACCATACAGTATATAGATATGCCAGTTCATACATCGAAAGGGGCGCAAGCTGAGTGTTCTGTCCCGGCTCCCAGCGCTTCGGCTCTGTGAGGCTGAGACACTCGGGTCGGGAGCCAGGCCATTCGGGTCGGGAGCTGGGCCGTTCGGCATGTATGACTCATGTCGGGAAGCGAAAGCAAGCTGAGAATTGCAAATGTATGTGTGTAAACAGACACGACAAAATTTTGTATCAATTCTTATTTTCCGAAACCGTTTTGAGTTTGTTTTGAGTTTCGTTTCCAGATTACGTAAATGTGTGTGTGCCATGTATTCACACATACTGTGCTTGTGTGTGGGCTCTACAATTGTTGGCCGCTTGAATTCGTTTTGTTTTGAGGGCTGATGTGATGTAGCGACCTATTCAGGGCCGGATCAACCCTCAACCGGGCCCTGGGCAACCATCAATCTGGGGCCCTCCTTTATTTTGTATTTTTCTCAGTGGACATTATATTTTGTATTCATTATTTGGAGTTTTGTTTTTTCAAAAAAATTTTTCTGTTATTTCTCGGAGGGCCCTAGGCAACTGCTAATCCGGCCCTGGACCTATTCCCGTCGTCAGACTTAATATTTTCTTGGTGTATTCTGTCGCTCGACTCGACGCGGGTTGAGGCATTGACGAGCCGAAAGCAGAGGCAAAGGCAAGCCGAAAGGAGAATGGAAGAAATACCCCGCACGCCCGACGCAACAAAAGCTTTTCAAAACAAAACGAAAAAATATTTTATGAACGGCTTCGTCAATGCCTCGACCCGACCCGCGTCGAGTCGAGCGACAGAATACACCAAGAAAATATTAAGTCTTACGACGGGAATAGGTCCAGGGCCGGATTAGCAGTTGCCTAGGGCCCCCTAGGGATAACAGAAAAATTTTGTTGAAAAAACAAAACTCCAAATAATGAATACAAAATATAATGGCCACTGAGAAAAATACAAAATAAAGGAGGGCCCCAGATTGATGGTTGCCCAGGGCCCGGTTGAGGGTTGATCCGGCCCTGAATAGGTCGCTACATCACATCAGCCCTCAAAACAAAACGAATTCAAGCGGCCAACAATTGTAGAGCCCACACACAAGCACAGTATGTGTGAATACATGGCACACACACATTTACGTAATCTGGAAACGAAACTCAAAACAAACTCAAAACGGTTTCGGAAAATAAGAATTGATACAAAATTTTGTCGTGTCTGTTTACACCAGGGCTCGGCACCCATACAGTGAAGTGCGCTTGTGTGCGTAGCTAAAACACGAAGATGCCTACGCCGAAACCGGTTTCTTGCTTTACACTGCACGAATCTATTTGTGGTTGATGCTGCAATTATTTCGTGTTGAAACTTTCAAGGAAAACAAAAGTTTAAAGCAAAATAATACAAAAAATTGAGTAAAATTATAAAAAAGAAAACGTCATTATCTTCCGCTACAAATAATAGAAAATATTTGGCCTGCAATTCCAAAACTTTTTGGACATGATCAATCCCCCTTATTAAGTTATAATCAATATGGTTTAAATTGTAATGTCTTTCAATGACATATAAATTACAGCGGTACGCAACATAATCGCAAATTGTGCATTGCGCATCGCCATCCATATTTTGGACAAAGAAAAATTTGTTTTCCCAATTCCCATCGAACATTTTTTGTCTCAGTGTATATTTCAGTAGTTGCGTAGCGTGGTCTCACATTGATGACGGCTGATCAGCAAACTGATGCCATTTTCGTTCTGTATCTGGTGTGAAAACGAGACAACAAGTGCCGAAGTCGCATTGCCGAAGCCATACGAAGCGCCGCTGCTTTTTTATACTGTCGGTGTACCGGCAGCGCAGCAGCAGCGCCTTGTCCCGCACCCATGGGATAGGGCCGTGCCGAGCCCTGGTTTACACACATACATTTGCAATTCTCAGCTTGCTTTCGCTTCCCGACATGAGTCATACATGCCGAACGGCCCAGCTCCCGACCCGAATGGCCTGGCTCCCGACCCGAGTGTCTCAGCCTCACAGAGCCGAAGCGCTGGGAGCCGGGACAGAACACTCAGCTTGCGCCCCTTTCGATGTATGAACTGGCATATCTATATACTGTATGGTTAGTGCCCATACAAAAGCCATACCCTGAAAAAAATACATGAGTTCACTTGAACCTGTAACAGTAAACGGTGAAAATAAAACATGTCGGCAATTCGGTTTAGCAATCAAATTCGTATCTTTGGTTCTATGAAGCGCTATGCCGGGCGATTTTGTTGACGTAGAACTGGCTCTGGATAATGGATCCGTAATAAAGGCACACCGGCTTGTCCTGGCCTTGTTTTCGGACTATTTCAGAAAGCTATTCCGGGAAATGCGGTCTTCTTGCAACGTCATTGGTAAGTAGTAAAATGCAATGATTAATAATATTAATAATAACAATAATTAATTAATTGCATTTATAGTCAAAGTGCATGCAGAACATTCGGTATTGATGGATAAATTCACTACATGTACCGTGGAGAGGTATATGTTAGTCAGAAGGATATTCCTGGATTTATAAGTGCAGCAAAATCGCTGCAAATCAAGGGTATTGCCGATGTAAGTAAATTGTAATACAAAAATTGGTTTCCTATGCTGAGGGCAATGGGCCTGGGCATCGCTGTTGTAATATGTGTAGAGTTTAATTGTCTTATATTTTTTCAGCGCCCGCCTACAAGCCGCCTGGTCCAGCCACATCATACGTCCACTGCCCAGCGCATCGACATGGATGACATGGATGACGGCCGCCTGGTCCAGCCACATCATACGTCCACTGCCCAGTGCATGGACATGGATGACGAGGGCGAGGATGGTCAAGGCGAGGACAACGGCGAGGAGGAGATGGAGGCCCAGGATGAAGAGGAGGCCAATGCCGAGCAGGAAGCCGAGCCAGAGCCGGCAGCTGCAACCCCTGCTCCAGCACCGGCCAAGGCTGCTGCAGGTGAAGCAGAGCATCTCATCGGCCTGGATGACAAAATTAAGAAACGGACGGTGTCGCTAATAGCAAAGCGCAGTCGTCTCAGTTTGAATGTAAGTATATAATAATACTTTAAAACTTATTTGAGATTAAGATCTGCTTTTTAACTATTATTCAATAGCTCTTATGGACCAGCAGCAGCAGCAGCAGCGAGGAGATCCAAAAAACCGTGGTGTCCAAGGTGAGTCCAATAACATTAGTCAACACGAGTTCATAATATATAATTAATGTACCTTTGCAGCGTGTGCTGTGCGAGAGCAACAACAACGAAGCCGAATGCAAGATGCCGAAGTATCCAAAAGTATCCCCGTCCCACTTCATATGGGATTATTTCCTTCTGAATGAAGAAACTTGCATCAAATGCTCCACAAAATTTAAGTACAATAGAAAAACACATCCCATGATACGTCATAAGCGCGTTTCATGCAAGGACTCGACGTTCGTTGAGCCGACAAATATGACAGACGAAGTAAATTTTATTAGAAAGCCGAGTCCTACTAATCCCATATGGGATTATTTTGTTTTTGACGAAGAAACCAGCATGGCAACTTGCCTCAAATGTGGTTCAAATTTAATTGCTTTAAGAACAGCATCTACGTTGATTCGGCACCACCAGACGTTTCACCATGAAACGGAAACTTCAAATAGTGTAGGAATAATTTTACAAAATGACCATAGTTCAAAAACTTTCACTGAAATTTCGTCTGTAAAAGAAGTTCACACTACTAATACTACTACTACTATTACAGAAGTCGCCGATTTAATAGGAATTCTAAAATCATATCCAATAACAGAAAACCTTCTGGAATTATCGAAAAACAAAAACGTCCTTTCGCAAACTGAACGCTTACAAATTATAACAGCTATTCGCCAATATTACTTAAAGAACCCCCTAAAATTAAGCAAAGAGAATAGGGAAACAATCGTTAAAAGTATAATGACCTTTTTTCCAAAAGAG